GCTGCCAACCGGATACATCCCCCTTGATCATCCGTAAGCTCAAAATTAAAAACTTTCATCTCTCCTCTAGCCGCAGTTCTAAGTTCACGCATTTCTTCCTTAGCGGTCACCACGCCAACAATCCTCCATCTGGAACAAACCGTCCAGCTCACAAAAATAATTCCAGTAATATCTATTTGGAACTAACTTGTTCACATAGGGAGTTATAAGTTTGATTGGAGTAACGTTTTGCCCCAACATCCCCATATGGCCTCTGTTGATCGCTGCACTGTTTTTAGACGCTGAAAAAACACACCAATAACTGCAACAATAACAGCGGGTAGGAAATGAAAGAATCCACTGTTTCAGTAAAAACTAGTGATTCTATAAACAGTTTCAAACCTTCCGCGTGTCACACTGAAGACAACGTTCAAAAGGCTAAAAACTGTAAATCAGTCAAATGGCCGAACTGTACAATTTAAACAAAAAAAAGTTAGAGATATTCAAAATTTAAGTTTTCAGCTTACAAAGGCTCTGGTGGGTCTTCACCGCTTTATGGGACTCTTCGTGACCCGATGTGCCATTTACGTTTTGACGTGATGCATCGGAACCGATTGCATCTCTCGAGTTGCCCGTATGCGAGACAGGATTCCCAAGGACTGGATCATCTTTGGACAGTAGAGTATAATTTATAATGATCAAAGGTCGATTTCCCGTCGTTGGACTAAAGAAAATACATAACGAAATTTTGCGCACTGCATGCTCAAAAAACACCTCTATGTTGTTCTGATGTGTTACAATATCAGTGGCACAACTCAAACTTCAAACCCATACAGCTCTGCCGAAAGACAGCTTAAATATTTGAAGCAGACATCAAAAGATTTAATATATACGAACACGCCAGCCTAAAAAAGGTTTGAACTCCATCAGTGAAAATGACGTTACAACCAACAATCGGAAACGAAATGCAAAGCATTTCCATTCAACTACTGCTGCGTAACAACAAAAAAAGTACACTTCAAGAACTTCTGCTTATAAAGTGTTTAAGATCAAGGCATAGGCCTCCGACCTCTCTAACTTCTTCGCTGAACTGGCTCATAGTACCACCCCAAACACTTGCATGTATTTCTAGAAAAGAAATCGTTTTATGACAAAAAAAAAAAAAAAAAAAAAAAAAAAAAAA